CTGAGAGAGAATATTTACAAGAAATACAAGTGGAGTCTTTTATTCAGATAATTTTAAAGGTAAACATTCTACTCTTTTTTACTGCATTTAAGGGAATGAAGAACCACAAATGCTCACTATACAAAAATTACTTAAGTAGTTGTCAAACTCCAGTTATATAGCGTTAACTGGTTTCACTACAAATTCATGCTTTTCAAACACATGAGGTCCTCATGGTTGAGTAATGATCTTTTATTCACTCCTAATTGACTCACTGCTCTGTTTCCACAATGCCCACAAGTCTTTGTCATTCTACTCCTGGCTTCAACCTGCCCATCTCTCTTTTGACTTTACTTAAAAGACTGTGGCCAAATTCCTTTCTTTTCACCTCGAAATTCCTATGCTTCTGTCTCAAAAGAATCCTTCCTTTGCTTTCATCTAGTATCCTCCCATCTTCTTGAAGACTTAATTCCCTCAACTGAGCCTCTCCCTTACATTTTCAATCTCTTTTTTCCTCAATGGATTGTACTCCTCAGCTTATAAAGTGGGCTCAAGTCTTCCTAAACTAAAAATACCACTTTCCCTCTACTACACCATTGTTTTGATATATCATACTCTCTCTCCTTCTCCTTTACCTCCCAACTTATTGAAAATGAAGTCTGTTCTCACTGCTTTCCATTTCCCTTCCCCCACCCTTCCCTTCAACCCTTGCCCCTGGCTGCCACTTCCACCTACCACAAAGACAATCAAGGAAAGCCAAGAGTCAAATCCAATGGCTTTGTCTTGGTTGCACCCTCACCCATGGGGTGTGCTGTGTGAGTGACAGGGGCTCTCCTCACCCCTGCCAGCTTCCATGACACTGTACCACTCTACTTCCATCATTTTTCTCCAACTGCCCTTATTTAACATGGTCCCTGTCCTCTTCTTTCTCTTTCCCCTCCAACACACAGACATCCCTTAAGGATCCTATCCTTGCCTTTGCTGCTTCTTTCTTCATTTTCTTTATCAGTGATTCCTGGGATATCAAAATCGCTCCTAAGTAGATGACTTACAAATCTCTTTGTAGCTCCAACCTCCCTCTGTATTCTAGTCCCTTAACTTGGATAAGCCTGTCATGCTCAAAAAGAAATTTCTCTCCTCTTCCTTATCCTCTGTTATATCTTCTTTCTGAAAATGACCCAACTGCTCTCTCAGCTAAGCCTGACAATGATCTTTGGCCTCCCTTTTCCCTCCCACTCTCCAGTGACTGTTCAGGCTCCTCAGATAATTCTTGCACACCACCTCTTAGGTGTGTTCCCTTCTTCCCTCCCACTGCCTCTTTCCATCTTTCCCCTACTTTGACAATAGGGTCTATCTGGTCTCCCTCCTGCCAGTCTTTTCCCATGTCATTCCATCCAACATAATACTACAAAATTATTGCCCCAAAGCACAGTTCTGATACTGTCAATCTTTCTCCTCACAAATCTTCTATAGCTCCCCAGTCCTTACTGAACAAAATCCACACTCCTTAGCTTGGCGTACAAGTTGCTCCACCACCTTGAACAAACCTCTCTTTCTTGCTTTATCCCTCATTACATCTCTTGGCATTCCTAGTGCTGCAGCCAAAGCACACCATTTTTTTGTTCCCTGTGTAGGCATACATCTTCCACTGCCAGGCCTGTGCTACGCTGTTCCTCCCCCAAGCATGCCCTTCCTTCTCTGCCAACCCAAATGCCACCTTAATCACAGCTCAAATGCTATATCCCATGTAACCTTCCCTGATTCTTCCATCAGAAGTCATTTTGTACCCTGTGAATTCCCACAGCCCTGCAGGAATACTGCTTTTTCAGCACTTAATCATTTTTTCACTATTTTTACAGTTAGTAACACATATTCCTCTTTTCTCCTTCTAGACCAAGATTCACCTCTGGGCAGGATCTAAGACTTAGCATTCTTTGAATCTCCAACCCTTCTCAACATTCCCTGTCCCCTATACCCCTAGGTACAGTGGGTCTGAGACACAGGAGGCAAGATGTTTGCAAATTAACTATTGTAACCCAGAGAGTTAACTTCAGATTTCATTGCTTGAAATTCTCTCAGTTTTAGCAACAATTACTTCTTCTTTGTAGGCTAAAAGTCCTATCTCCCCAAGGTACTACATACAGTTAATTCCTTTTGGACCCAGAGGTCATTTTCAAATATCTCTTACTCCTAAGTCTTCTGAAACAAACAAACAATAACAACAACCAAAATGAAAACAAAAAACAAAACAAATAACAAAAAAAACCCTTAAGAGACTCAATAATGGTAGAGAAAAGCACTGATGCTATTTTAAGTGAAGGAAAGGCATCCATGCACAAAAAAATGGCTTGCTGCAGGCCACAGCAAAAGGTACAACCATTTACCAGAGCTGTCTCATGAACCTTATACCAGTCCAATCTTTAGAAAAGCCAGATATTGCATTTTTAAAACTATCAACCTGGGCAACGTAGCGAGACTCTATCTCTGAAAAAAATAAACAAATATCTGGGTGTGGTGCCATGTGCCTATTGTCCCAGTTATTCAGGAGGCTGAGGCAGGAGGATTGCTTGAGCCAGGAGTTTGAGGCTGCAGTGAGCTATGATCACACTACTGCACTCCAGCCTGGGCGACAGAGGAAGACCCTGTCTCAAAAAGATAAATAAAAATAAAAATGATCACGTTTATGTTAGAAAAGAAATCACTGATTCCTGAGTCATCGATTATGCTGCTGTGTAATTTCTCTTTCTCTAAACAGTGTATTTACCTGGTAATTCCTCATATTATTAAACTTTCTTGTAAGACATTTACATCCCTGGTCTTACTTGCAAATATAAAAGATGATGACTTTTTTTTTTTAAAACCAAAACCTCTTAGAATGGCTTTTAAATTCCATAAGTACTTTTCTCAGAAAGGGATTTGGCATAACAAATAAGAGAGTAAAGAACTAAGATTCAAAATTCATTTTTACAAATCTATCCTTAAATCTTGGATGAGAGCCAACAACCAACCTCATATTAAAATCTTAGAAGGCTTGACTTGAAGAACATGGGGAAATTTACTTTACATTGACAGCTTCAAGAACACCTAGTCTATACATCATTAAATAAGATATATGGGAATAAAAAAAGCATATGTGGATAGCCCTAGTTTTATTATTTTCAATGAAACAACGATATCGTGCAACCTTTGCCCATAAAAGAATGCAAAACAAAAATTTTAAAAAAGAAAAAGAAACCTCTGGTGCCAACATGTTGTATATTTACTTGTGTAGCCATGACTGCTACCGGCTTTTTGAAGAGAACCGTGCAGCCAGTTTGGATTCCGACAGCAATGCAGTAGAATTTAAGGTGTTATGACTAAAATATGTCCTAAACAGGTTAAGCTAGACATACAACATTTTAATACAGTAGTGTCGAGATACTCATTCCTGTGAATACCGCAGAAGAAATACAGGCGAGGAGGAATCACACTGCCCTGGATACACATGAATATGCCATCTCCCTGCCTATCTCTACCCAACCCTACACACACCTATCTTTACCACGCAGAGACAATTAAACAGCCATAGACTCGATGCATTTCTGTGTCCTTGTTCCCACTGGGTGAGGTATTGCCAGCCTGACATTTTTCCAAATTCCCTACTAGTGGGCTATATCAGGTAGGAAAGCAGGGACTTTACTGACCTGGGACCCCATCACTGTGGGTCTTGGGAGATTTCAGTTTCCAAATGATACACGGCACCACCTAGCTATTGTGACAGCTGGGAGAGTGGATGTCACCAGCAGTAGAAATAAAGTATCCTGTTTCCTGAGGAAAACGCCCTGGCTGTGCGACGCTGACCAGGTGGGCACCAAACACTTCTCCGTGTGATATTTTTCTTCTTTTTTAAAGACTGCCCCCCGCCCCGCCGCATCTCTCTATACGTACACACCTCCAGAGTTCATTCTAAAGAACCAATACAAAGACCATCCATCCTCTAGCCATAAGGTTTTCAGTGCTTAAATGTGGAAGGAGAAGGTCTAGCTAGCATTGAAAGTTGTGGGGACAGGAAGAGGAATCTGATCATTCAACACTATTCTCCTTCAGGTCAGACAAGAGAAAAACAATAGAAACTGCAGAGTCAGGGAGTACAAGACCCTTATGGAACAGGTGCTAAGCAGAGAAGTAGTATCAGAGGATGGAAGCCCCCTTCAAAACCGGGTACACCAGCAAGCCCAGAACGCGTAACGGTTATCCTATTTCCCTGCCATGTGCCTCAAAGCAACATGCTCACTTCCACATCCCCATGTAATGAGGCCAGAGGAAGGGGAAGCGAGAATCCCTACACTGGGCCATCCACACGCAGGAGCAGAACAGAGACTGTGCTCAGAGTTGCAGGGTCAAAATAACAAACACTGCCCCACAGTCTCAGCCGGTGACATCAAGTCAGGGCAGCGGCAGATCTCTGGGTTTGGGGCGCTGTTTGGGGAACGTGGATGCAACCAAACGCGTACACACACATACACAGAATTTTACAAACCCGCCCCTACCCCACTGCCTCCCTCCACACTTCACACACCAAGTGCATCCTGCCCACCTCACCGTTTCCATCATCACATTCTTTCTCCAGGAGAGTCAGCCGAGAGATGAGGGATCCTAGCGGGGATTCCTGGAAATGTCACCCCCCAACACCTCCGTCCGCCACCCCCATCCCCTCTGCTATACCTTTTACACACACACTCTCACACACTCACTCCTGCCATGACTGTCATCAGGCCCGCCTGCTGCGCCCGAAGCCTGGCATCTGAGCGGGCACCGGACCCCAGCCGTCTCGCCCGCAACGCCGCCTTACCCCGCCTCGCTGGCTGATGGTTCCAGGCACTGCCCCCTGGATGTCGCCTGCTGCCCCCGCTCCTCCGCACTATTGTTCCAGGCAGCCCCTCTCGCGTCCGGGGGCGCCCTTTGGCTAGGACCCGGGCTCCGTCGGGGGCCGCATCAGCGCCGGGCACCCCTTCTCACCCACCCCTCCCTGGCTGTGGTACCTTGCCTGACAGCTGGGTCCGCGGGCCCGCGGGAGCAGGCGGCGCTAGTGACAGCGCTGGTGCCAAGCCTGGGAATAAAGCTCCGCTCCAGCCGCTGCTACCTCCAGCGCCACCATCTTCTCCCGCCGCAGCCGCCGCCGCCGCCGCCGCCGCCGGGACCGCAGCCGCCCTCGCCCAGCTCCGGCTCTGCAGCCGCCGCTCGGAACCCTCCGGTCTCGCGGCCCCACCCCCTTTCCCCACCCTCCCTCCCGCCCTCCAGCTCTCTAGCTCTCCCCTCGTGACGCGCGCCGGGGCCGGGCGGGCCTGCGAGGGAGGGCGCGGGGGAGCGCGCGCGCGCACGCCGCCTGCTAGTAGCGCCCCTGCCTCCCACGCCCACTCGCGTGCGCGCGCGGCCCGCGAGCCCGAGGCGGCGGCGCCGCCGGCGTCCTCCGTGGGCAGCTGGCCGCAGCTCCCCTGCCTCGGCGCCGGTGGGCGTGCGGGACACCGGCGCCTCTCGCCTCCCCTCGCGTCCGGGTTTCGAAGGGCCCGCCCTGCCTGTGTTCCACAGCCCTATCCTCTGGTTCCCGGCCAGACGCACGGAGGGGAAAATGCGGCTGCATCCCCGAGGGGACTGACGGGGACCTCCACCCTCCTCGGTGGCAAACCAAGGGGTCCCCAGTTTCCTAGCCGGGAGCTGTGGCCAACCTCTCTGCGAAGCAACGGGCCACGCTGCAGGACCACGAAGCCAGGCAGCTGGGTCGACTCCTGCAGGGTGTTCTCTCGTGAGTGACTCCCGAGCTTTCCCGCTTCCCAGGCCCCTTAGATACCGCCTGCGCTTCAAATCCGGAGATTGACGGCGTCTCCGGAATGCGCCGCAGTGCTGCGAGTTCCCCGCCAGGGGGAGAGCCGCGCGGGTTTGGGCCTGAGCGAAGCGGGCCGGGCTGCAGTTCTCCAGGGAAACTGCCCAGTCCGGCCAGGGACAGCGGAGAGCCTGCGGATTGTGAAGCCGGGGAAGGCTCGGCTTGGTTTTCCTACCCGCTCCTCAGTTCTGGTTGATCGGAACTTAAGAGTGTCTTTGAGCCTAGCATAGGCTATCCGCCCTAGATATGGCTCCTAGCTCGAGAGGCCACCCTTTGCAGCAGGGACCAGGTGGCAGGTGCTGTGTATTAATGAAAAGCTGTGGGCTAGACAGGCCCCGAGAGGCCTGGGCTCTGGCGCTAGCCCCACCTGTAATTAGCAATGCAATAACTAAATCATTCCCCGTCTTAGAAACACAGATTTTTCATAATAATGTTATAACGCACAAAGCCTAGTAGTTTGCAAAGCCCTCTCCAGACATATATTCTCCTCCAGTAAAATGAGGATAAGCGCTGGTTATCCAGATCCCTTGGGAAATGCATCTTTTACCACACCATGTTTCCATAGTATTTTAAGCACAATGTCTCCAGAGAAGTCTGGGGGTGTAGCCTAAAGCATTCTGAAAGTCTTGTTTTAGCTTTAATATTCGTATGAATTCTGCATTGTACTTCGTAATTTTTTTTCTTTAATAAAACAGCTACCTTCTCAAAAAGATCTTTTAGTAAAATTTAAGATTATATACTAGGAAGATGTATGCTTGTCCTGTGACATTACTCTTTTTTTTTTTTCCAGTGAATACTTATTTGGCATATGTACGGGCCAGATATAGTCCTTTTCCACCAGAGCTCACAGTAGGCTGAAGGAAATAGGTATTCAACTATTAGACTGGCCAGGCACAGGGACTCACGCCTGTAATCCCAGCACTTTGGGAGGCCGAGTACGGCAGATCACTTGAGGCCAAAAGTTTGAGATCAGCCTGGTCAACATGGCGAAACCCTGTCTCTACTAAAAATACAAAAATTAGCCGGGCGTGGTGGTGCACGCCTGTAATCCCAGCTGCTGGGGAAGCTGAGGCATGAGAATCGCTTAAACCGGGAGGTGGAGGTTGCAGTGAGCCGAGATCGCGCTACTGCACTCCAGCCTTGGCGTCTCAAAAAACAAACAAACAAATAAAACAATCAGACAAAGTGCAACTGTGATAAATTCTCAACTGCAAAGGCGCTAAGGTGCACGGGAAAATCTAATGTAGACTCCAGGACTAGGTAAGGCTTTCTAAGGAAACGACATTTCAGATCCCCCAGGAGAGGCAGCAGTGAGACACTTCCAGGTAAAGGGAAGGAAATGTCAAAAGGCCCAAGCAGGTGGGGCGGAAGTGAGATGAAGCTGGAGAGGCAGGCAGCAATCAGAACCTCAGGAGACCTTGTGGACCGTTTTTAAATAATAATTTTGTCTTATGAGCCTGGAAAGTCAATGAAGGGTTGCCAAGATTTGGGAGCAGGCAAGCAGGATTACATTTCAGTTCCTGAAAGATCGCTGAGGTGGCTTGTGAGGAATTGATTCGTGGAGGGTCAGGATCCAGGGCCGAGGGAGTCTGAGCTTATCCTACTTAGTGAGTGTTTAGAGTTTTCTGTTTTTGCGCTAACTGCTCTTTTGATTGTTTTTAGTTCTTGCCTCTGCTCTCCTGTGTACTCATCTAGGAGGCTTTCAGAGTGCTTCTCTGTAATGGTTTTTGTTTTGTTACTTTTAATCCACTGCGGTTTTAGGAAGGAAATTAACTTTGTTAGAATTTCAGGTTAAATAAGAGAATATAGGTTCTGAGTGAGAGGCTCTTTTCTGTGCATACACTTACTGCTGTTTGGTTTGCTATCTCAGAGATCTTTCTGCTTATCTTCTACTTTTTGTGTTGTGTTTCCAGTTAGACTAGGTTCTTAGATAAATGAATGAGGGTTACATTATTGCTTTAATAATATCCTCGAATCTTACCTCACAGGATTTTTGTGTAAAGAAAGTATGTGAAATTTCTCTGCAAAGTATTACGTGCCATATAAAGAAAGGTAATCATTGTTAGTTATAATGGTAGCCCAGAGACCTCCAAAACTAATTATGTACCAAATGTTCATATGTGGAAATTTCCCTCCCTCCCCCACCCCTATGAAAAACACATATTCCTATTTCTTCCAGATAGCATGAATCATTGTCTTAAGTGCTATTGTTACTCTTGCCTTGGCTGTCAGGAAACTCAAAGCCAAATTTTCAGATCGTCGTAGGAAATGAGTGGATCCACATGGCATGTAGATCCATGTCTCAATCCCTTCTTTGGTCTTGTTCTATTCTATTTCTAGATTTCCTGTGCCTGCTTTATTGTTTTTCTTTTTAGTAGATCTTTCATAAGGCACTCCAATCCACCTTCTCCTGTTAACAAGGGTCAAAACTGCTATTCAAGTGTTTCAGGAAGCAGTATATAAAATACTGGCAGCCAGGCATGTTGGCTCATGCCTGTAATCCCAGCACTTTGGGAGGCCAAGGTGGGACGATTATTGGAGGTTAGGAGTTCAAGACCAGCTTGGGCAACACAGTAAGACCCCCATCTCTCAAAAAAAAAAAAATTAGTGGGCATGGTGGCGAATTCCTGTAGTCCTAGCTACTTGGGAGGCTGAGATGGGAGGATTGCTTTAATCCAGGAGGTTGAGGCTGCAATAAGCTATAATTGTGCCATAGCACTTCTGCCTGGGTGATAGAGCAAGACCATGTCACTAAAAGTAAAATAAAACACTGGCAACCTGCTGACCATTGAAGCAGGTAACAATAGTATAGACACTGTGCCAAGTGACTTGGGTTTAAAGTAAAGCCTTCGCCACCACTGCATGTGCACCTAAAGTCTCTGTGCATGCCAATTTAAAACTTCATATTATTGGTAAACTTAAATATGTCTCCCAATGGCTCATAGTTTAATCTCTGAGGTCCCAAACTCTATCAGCCTACACTATACCTACAAATACAGACAGTTCCTGTCTTATGATGTTCGACTTAAAAGTTTTTGACCTTACTTTTGGGCTTATCAGGGTATTAATTTTTTTTTTTTTTTGTCAGTGTCTCACTCTGTTGCCCAGGCTGGAGTACAGTGGTGCAGTCTTGGCTCACTGCAACTTTCACCTCCCCGGTTCAAGCGATTCTCCTGCCTCAGCCTCCTGAGTAGCTGGGACTATGGGTGCCCACCACCACGCCCGGCTAATTTTTGTATTTTTAGTAGAGACAGGGTTTCACCATATTGGCCAGTCTGGTCTCAAACTCCTGACTTCAAGTGATCCACCCGCCCCAGCCTCCCAAAGTGCTGGGATTACAGGCATGAGCCACTGTGCCTGGCCTTAAGTGCATTTTTGACTTATGTAACCCCACCATAAGTCAATGAGTGTCTATATATCTTACTGTCACAAGCACTGTTTGTCACTTGGTAAAAGGACAGAGATTCAAAAACTTTTATTCATTTAGGGTTCTTTTTGTCAATAAAGACTTGAAGATTCCATTATTCACTACATCCATTCAAACTCCACAAGAGTGTGACCATATCTTCCAGCTTTTGATATAGTTCTGGACAGCTTAAATTGGACATCCTTCTGATATAAGTTGGTACTTTTCCTTGATTTCAAGTTCTTAAGTGATTACCCTCTTTCTGTATCAGTCTTTGAGCTTATAAGCTGAGGTTGTATGTAAAACAAGCATCGAACAACCTTCGGTAATCTGGTTTCTCTTGAGGATTTCAGTTCTGCTAATATTTAGTAATCCAGCATAATTTCTAAAATATTGTATAGCCTTTTTGTCACAGGATTTAAAGTGTATGAAAGAAATATACAATTATGAGATGTATGTATCATAAACTTAAATAAATTTGCTTGTATATGCCGATTCTTATTTCACCAGCTTTTTTTCTGGGCATAAAATCTGTCCAGAGAAATAATGCCCTTCTTTTCTTTTTTATTCTCCAAACAGGCCAGGCTCCTTCTCTTTTTCTCCCCCTGTGCCCTTTAATGAGTCCAACCAGAATTTTGTATGATGTGTTTATCTGATACATTGGAAGACATTCTGGTGCCCCATATGGTAATTCTACCTCTGACAATGAAGTTTTTGAGTAAATAATGTCACGGGAACATATTGACTTTTAAAAATGGTTGTAATCCCATTCTCTGAACCATACTCCATGACCAGGAGCTTGGGTTACACTGACTAACTTAAACCACTCAGCTCCCAGTCCTGGAGCTGGGTCAGTCCTCCCCAGACCACATGGCTGATTGAGGATAGAGCAAGATCTGGTGACTACAAAAAGGGTGAAATGGGAAGAGGGAAACAAAAACATCACCTTCCCTGTTCATCTCAGGCTTA